CCCCAAGGGGCTGTGCAGAGAAGGGGCTGGCGCCTGGCCAGGGCCAGGGCTTAACGATCAAGGGCTAAGCCTCGGGCTGGGGGTGCTGGACCCGAAAGGAGACACTACTCCTCAGATCTGCCCGGGAGGCCTCCCTCCACCTGGAGAAGCCTGGGCGGAGCTGGGGGTCTCTGCGCCCAGCGCCTGGGCTTCCAAGGAGCCTACTTTGGGGTCCATCTTCCTGGCCAAGGGCAGCAGGTTCCCCCGTGGAGACGCTCTCTTCTGTCTGGGAGCCCGAGCCTGGCAGCCCGCTCCCCAGCGCCGTCCGCAACTCCCCACCCCAGCCCGGCCTGCAGGGCGTCCAGGTGCGGGCTCCGGGCGGGGCCGTGGGCTGCAGGGAGGCCTGGACCCCGCAGGGCCCTCGTGTCCGGGGAGGACGGTCAGGGCTGAGATGAGCGGGGAAGCAGCGCGATCTGAACAGAATCCTACAGCCCGCACTTCCCAGGGGACGGGCCCCGGAGGCCCCGGAGGACCTCAGCCTCTCAGAGGCAGCTGGCGTCGTGGGGCCCACGTCCTGCCATCGGGCCACTGTGCTTTGTCCCCACCCGGGCCTGGTTCTGGGGCGGAGGTGGAGGAGTGGCCCCGAAGCAAGAGCAGCCCCGCAGGCCCAGGTCAGAGGTCCCCGTGGCGGCGGCGGCCGTGGGCACGGGGTGGGGGGGTGGAGGGGTGGGAAGTGGAGCCCGCAGGTCTGACCACACAGAGCTCAGCTTCCCTGCAGACGTGGCACTTTTGCTTCTCCCTTTCTGCTCCTGGTGCGTTTCCTCCAACTCTTGCTCAGTTGGGTCCCCGGGAAGCGGCTGCTGAGACGGGTGGGAGAGGGAGGGGGCACGGGGGTGAAGCCTGAGAAGGATGAGGTGGGGGGAGGAGGCTGAACAGCGCGGAGACCCTCAGAAGAGCCTCTGGTCCAGTGGGGAGGTGGGAGCCAGGGTGTCCGCGGTGGGCCTGCAGGGGCAGAGGTGGGCCTGGCCCCCCCACCCCCATGGGGCGCTGCCCCCGGGGTGTCGGCCCGCTGACCTCCCCACTGCTCAGCGGTGGGGTCTCTCCTGAGGGGGCTCTGAGGATGGATGGATGCCCCCATGGATGCCACAGCCCGCCTGTCGTGTCCTCTGCTCACCTTGGGGGCTGTAATGCAGGCCCTGGGACCACTCCTCCCGAGAGGACACTCAGAAGAGGGAGGTCGCTGGTCAAACCACTGCCCCTGATCTGGTGTAGCCTCACAGCCTCCCGGCCACTGTCCCTTCTCGCTGCGCCTCTCCCCTGTCGGTCCACATCCTGGTCCCGGCAGTTCCCTGGGTGGGAGACCCAGCCCTTCCTTCCTGCACACATGCTGGGTCAGGTGGCCGGGGTGTCCCTTCTCTGCCCCCAGCCTGGGACGGAGCACCTTGTCTGGGCAGAGGAGCTACCTGACCCCCAGGTCTGGTTAGAATTTGTCAGAAAGAATCATCTGGAACCTGAGTCTCTGGTTTGGTGTCCACAGAGCTTACAAGGCCCTGCTGTCCACCTGGCAGATGGAGGTGACCCCCAGCCGCGGGGCTGGCCCTGCAGAGTTAGCAGCACCACCCACCATTTCAGGGTTCAGCCTCAAGGGGTCCCAGGCCACAGCTGGGAGGTTGCCCAGGCCAGGTGGCCAGTGAAGGATGCCGGTCACTGCACCTTCGTTCCACGTCAAACTCAGAAACCCCACACAAACCCTCCCCATCCTCTGAGAGGCACAGCCCCCGTCCTGGCCCCCCCACCATCTGATTCCAGACTATCTTCATCACCCAGTAAACTTTTCTCCACGATCGGCAGTCACTTCTCTTAATCCTTCTGTCTGAGGACAGAGCCTAGGACGCCGGCGCCGGCTCTGCACAGACCCCGGTGCTGGCGCCGCCGGGCTGACTGTTCTTTATAAGCATCTGGCCAACCGGGGCTCTGACTGCAGGTGCCAGAAGGCTCTCCAGTGGGTTTATGTGGAAATACAGTTCAGGGCCATGGTCCTGTGGCTCTCACAGCTCGTAGGAACCAGGACAGTCAGACTGGACGACAGGACCCAGGGGGCAGAGGTCACAGGGACACCCAGCCCCACCCTAGGAAGAGCCCGGGCAGCCGTGTGTCCAGGGCCACAGACGCCACTGGTTCAGGACACGCCCTGGGTGACTTCCCGACAGCACCTGAATGTAGACACCTGTCCTCCAAACTGTGAGAGAACTTCCTGTTACTGTGAACCACCAACATCATGCGGGTGCACACAGACACACACAGACGCACATGGAGACACACAGACACACACAGAGACACACACACACACAGACACACACGGAGACACAGAGACACGCAGACACACACGGAGACACGCAGACACACACACAGACACACACACACACACACACACACACACACGGAGACACACATATAGACACAGACACACACTCCCACGGGCCTGGACCAGGCCCTCCGCGCAGAGCCACCTCCTGCCTCTCCTGAGCGGACCAGCCCCGCCTTCTCGTCTGCCGGATGGCAGGGCGGCCTCCCCAGCAAACCGTCCATTTCACAGACCAGGGTTGTTTTTCTAGTTCGTGCTGGTT